TTAAAATTATTATCCTTGTCCTGGTCGAACGCTGAAGTCGAGCGCCTATTCAGCCTAGTCAATTTAATCAAAAATAGGCTAAGAAACAGAATGAGTTGCACTGTGCTGAGCTCAATGTTAGCAATAAGGTAGGAAACAAATAGTTTAATGGTTGACATAAAAGTTATATGAGATTTTACTTATAGATATGGATTACGCCGACATGGCAAATGTTGCTATGAATATAGCCTTCCAATCAACTACCTTAAAAAGGCGAATTATAAAGGCGACAATGGTGAAAATGACGAGTTGGTGGTCATAGATGATATATTAACAGAATTAAATTAATAACGTTGACTTTTTATGAAAAATAACAATACTGTTTTGATTTTTGCTACTTTTTTAAGCTATTTTAGAAGAAAGTTGGCTACTTTTAGCTACTTTCAGCCCACGGTTTTGTTACTTTAGCTGAAAAAAATTCGGCAACAGTGCTTGGGAACCTCTTGTTCTAAAATACAAAGAACTTGATGAGATCGTATCGGTGCAGTCAGTACAAAAAATGTTAACTCTCTGCACGCAGCCTATCGGCATGAGCTGCTTTCTTTTATTTTTTTCTTCTTGTTCTATTTTTAAGTAAACACTTATTGCAATTAGGGCAATTTTGTTTCGCACTTCATGACAGCTGTTATGAATGAAATGGAAATAATTAATGTGTGCTCTCTCATTAATACCAACAACCAGTACAGCATGAGGAAACTGTGGCGACTTACCAAGATAATCAAAAGACAACCTCACCTCAACACCACACCCTAACACCAGACATCTCACCATCAAGCAGCCTGCAAAAATAGACAAAAAACAATTATTAGAAGGCTGAAGCCTTCGCTGCTCATCTCGAGGAAAGACTCTCACCTACATATTTGTCAACACGCCTGACGACCAAGCAGCAATACGCAGCGACCGGAAACTGTCACCTGGAGATGACAAAATTGATAATAGAATGATCAAACAGCAACCCCAGAAACATGCCGTGATCACAATGATCTTAATGCAAGGCAAGGCGTCCTCTGACGTCAACTCCTACCGCCCTGTGTGAAGTATTCAGTAGCTTTGAGCTGTTCATGAACAACTGAGCAACTGAGCAATGTGAGTGAGCAATGTGAATGAGCAACTGAGCAAAGTGAGCGAGTCAACTCACTTCGAAAAAAAAGAACAAGTGAACATGTTCACCAAATTGAGCAACGTTTACCCAACACTAGGCACGAGAGAAAAATTGTATTCTCCAATTGGTACCTCAAGATCCAATGATAACTGCTCACCGATGACGTCTGAAAGTTGAAGAACGTTTCTCCAGAACTGTTTCCAAGCAAACCGTTCGACGCACTTGGAAAAGGGCGGGCATGGCCGCGTTGCACGTAGGAAGCCCCATGTATCAGAGGTGAACAGAAAAAAAACGGATGGACTTCGCCAATGAGCACTTTTCCAAGCCTTCTAGCTTCTGGAAAAAAGTCATTTTCTCAAATGAAAGCATGTTTTGCCTATTTAGCATAAAAGGAAAGAAGCTAGTATGGAGAAAAATTGGAACAGCCATGGACAAGGAAAATTTATTACTGGCGGCCAGTGGTGTTGAAAATCTCTCTTTTATAGAGTCAACCATGGACCACAAGGACTACATACAAATTCTTAGTGAGAATTTTTCATCCAACAGGACAATGATGCGCGGCATACAGCCTACAATGTAAAACTCTAGCTACTTTACAATGTTAAAAGTCGACTATGTTAATAAGAAATGTTATAAAAAAAAAAAATTGTCCTTGTGTCCTAAATAAGATATAATACACATGTAATCATAAAACAAGTCAGAAAGCTCTAGTCGAGACTGCTCGACTACGAGATCCCCTGAACCC